ACATCATTCCTCACCCACGCTGGGCTCGGCAACACTCAACGCCACGCTGTTCCCCGATGTCAGGCTTGCCTTCCTCTGCCCTCTGCCTGTAATGTCCCTGGCCTCTGCGTCACCTGGCCAGGTCCTATTCAATCTTCTGCATTCTGCTTGGAAGCCTTTATGAATCTCTTAGCCTGGGTTATGAACCCCTCATCTTTGCTCCTTTCATACTTTTTGCAAGCCTTTGTTATAACGCTTAACCATTATAATACTGAAGTGATCAGTTTGTGTGTCTTTGCTTCCCACTAGACAGAAAACCCAAGGTCAGAGACCAGTTCTTGTTCTTTTTTATATCAGTGTTCAGCAGCTTGACATACAGTAAAGGTCAGTAAATGTTTTACAAACTGAATGGCACCAAACCCTGGAATCTAGACCATCTTTTCCATACCCACCACTGCTGCCTTAGTTCAAGTCCCTATTTTCCATTTGAAGTAAGGCAAAGGATTTCCTGCCTCTAATCTCTCTTCATACCATTCTTTAAACAGCTGGCAGAATTGTCATCTGAAAGCCCAAATATCCTCTCTTATATATCCTAGGCTCAAAACCTCTGTGTGCTCCTCACTGCCTAAGAATAAAGTCTAATCTTCTTAACAAGGCACAAAGGTCATTTAATCTACTCTCCACCTTCTCTATCTGCGCCAAAATCTTGCTAAACTTCTTACTGTTGCTGGAACAAGTTCCACGCTTTCCAATCCCCCTGCCTTTGCACATGCAGTTCCTTCTGCCAAGAATGCCCTTCTCTCTCCCACCTGGAAAACTCTCGTTCATTCTATATGACCTATTCTACACATCACTCCTTTATCTAGCCTATCTTGGACACCCACTGGGAGAACTACTCGTTTGCTCCTCTCTGTTCCCATAGCACATTGTTCATACTGATGTCACAGTTCTTGCCAAAAATTGTTACTATTTTGTCTGTCTTAACCACTTGAATTCAAGGGCAAGGACTGAACCACACTCATCTTTGCATGTCCTGGGAGCTAGAACTACCTCTGAGATACACTAAGCACTCAATATGTTTGCAGTTTTTCAATAAATTAATGAATAGAATGGCTAGGAAAAAAATGAGAAGAACCTCTGGCTTACTGTGTGTCACGTCATGCCAAGAATACATACTGAGTAGAATCACATTAGATCGATACTTTTCACATTGTAAGTCACGATCCATTAAGAAAAAAAGAGAATAATAACAAAAATCAAAGGGCGCTATTTTTATTTCAGTCAATGCATGAGTATGTGTGTACTGGGCTGAAATGTAAAACGCATTTCCCACTGTGTAGTATGATTTTAACCGAGGCTTGGAAAACACTGCATATGGTCATTTCTTAGTTTAGTACCATTTATTATTTTTTGTAATGACCTCAATGATAATATTAACATAATGCCCACTATGTAGAATTTGGGGAAGATTAAATGAGATGTGAAAAGTATACATAAATGTATAGATCACATTTAACCTTACCCACAAATTTCAGTTTCCTCAATGAAATCATCCTTAGGACAATAATGAGATCTTCCTCGAGTACTATGAGGAATATGAGAGAATATACATTAAGCCTTTAGCCTAGTGCCTGGCACTTAGTATTTGCTCAATGAATCTTAGTGATGATAATAACATGGTGCCTGGCATATGACAGAGTTAAAAAACATTAGTTCCTTGGGTCAGATATCCTTGACTACTGATAATAAATTGGTGCCGAAGGTCATTGCTGGCATCTCAGAAAGCTAGATGACAGTAAAATAAAAGATGACTACTTTAAAAGGAATACTTATTTATAAAGTCATGTTCATCTGGAATAACAGTGGAATGCTTAACTGGGAGGAAAAGGAAAATAATACAAGTGAATATACAGCCTTATTTATGACAAAAGAAATAAGACATCAAACTATCAATCTCCCAAACCAGGACTTGTATTTCTGATACAAAGAGACAGTGATAAAACAGGGCTTCCCTCAAATAAATTACTTAATCTCTCTTAGATTCAGTTTTTCATCTGTTAAAAATAACTACAATTTTGTAGGCGGGCATGGTGGCACATGCCTGCAGTCCCAGCCACTCAGGAGGCTGAGGCAGAAGGATCACTCAAGCCCAGGAGTTTGAGGTTGCTGTGAGCTAGGCTGATGCCACGGCACTCACTCTAGCCTGGGCAACAAAGTGAGACTCTGTCTCAAAAACAAAAACAAACAAAAAATAACTACAATTTCACAGATTTTTCCATTAAAAATGTTCCAGTTCTAGGACAACATCAGAAACCAGAAACTTAGTAGGTGTTCAAAAAGAAATATAAGTTTTCTTTATTAGGCAGCAAATACCTGCCTGATTCTAACCCCTAAATTAGCTCTCCCTTCTTTTTCCCTAAATGAGTCTATTGTATTTACTTAATTTAAAGTGCTGGATGTGGCGGTATGAGAAAGGAAGAGATCCTTGAGTCATCTTGTTAAAATCGTTAGATGTCACAGGCTATTTGGAATCACCCTGGGTTCATGTATATCAGCTTTGGCTTGTTTTATTTGTCAATTCCTCCATTGACTCATGTTCATTGAATTCACAAGAGAGTCATTTAAAAGCAATGATATCAATGTATTGATTTGTAATGGAAGATATTAACAACCACAAATATTTATTGGTCTCCTACATGCCAGAGAATAGGCTACATATGGCAAAAAAATAGATTGCCTAAGCTTGAGTGATCCTCCTGTCTCAGCCTCCCAAGTAGCTGGGAGTACAGGCATGCGTCACCATGCCCAACTAATTTCTTATATTTTTTGTAGAGATGGGGTCTTGCTATGTTGCTCAGGCTGGTCTTGAACTCCTGACCTCAAGCAATCCTCCTGCCTCAGCTTCCAAAGTGCTAGGATTACAGGTGTGAGCCACCATGCCCAGCCTGGAGTTGAATCTTATAATTTAGATTACTTAGAGGAGTGGATATATGATCCACTATATATCTATTATGTAGTGAATCCTTCTAATCATATTCCATATATAGTACTTTTCTCAGCCCGGCTTTTGATAATAGCTAAACAGTAATAGTTTGCCTAACAAAGCCCTAGAGAAAGGTATAGCAAACAATGGCCCATGGGCTGAATCCTGCCTGCTGCTAGTTTTTGTAAATAAAGTTTTATTAGAACACAGCCATTCCCACTCATTTTATTATCAATGACTGCTTTTGCACTACAAAGGCAGAGTTGGGTAGTTGTGGCAAAAGTCATATGGTTCACAAAGACTAAAATATTTACCCTCTGACCCTTTACAGAAAGTGTGCTGATCTTTGGAGAGTACAAGCATTCTATAGTGCCGATTAAGAGCAGAACCACATGTATCAGAAGTTAGACTAGCAGATGATAGAGCTGATAATCTATAATGGAAATTGAGGTTCTTAATCAGGACCCTGGCTTTGATAGAAGGCTGTCTTAACTCAACCAGGAGGGAGACACCTGCAGGCAAAGTCAGAATTTTCTGCAGGAAGTTTTGAGTCCATTTTCACATATGAACAAGTGTTCAGTTATTCATTTTATCTCTGTTAACTATGCTGTTATAGATGGTTCTCCTTGGCAAAGATCACTTTCTTCAATACAACCCAAGACTTTCTGGGAAGGTAGGGGGAGATGGGGGCAAAAATGTCCCAAGACTTGCTGAATAGAGTGTTTTACATTTTTATTTTTTGAGACAGAGTCGCACTTTGTTGCCCAGGCTAGAGTGAGTGCCGTGGCGTCAGCCTAGCTCACAGCAACCTCAAGCAATCCTCCTGGGCTCAAGCAATCCTCCTGCCTCAGCCTCCCAAGTAGCTGGGACTACAGGCATGCGCCACCATGCCCGGCTAATTTTTTCTATATATATACATTAGTTGGCCAATTAATTTCTTTCTATTTTTATAGTAGAGATGGGGTCTCGCTCTTGCTCAGGCTGGTTTTGAACTCCTGACCTCAAGCAATCTGCCCGCTTTGGCCTCTGAGAGTGCTAGGATTACAGGCGTGAGCCACCTCGCCCAGCCAATAGAGTGTTTTATAAATTTGCAACAGAAACACTGTAGATGATCTGCAATGTGTCTTGCTGCCTCTATTCCACAAAGCATTCAGAATGATCTTTCAAAGCATAAAACTAATCATGTCCCTTCCCTGATTATACCTTTCAATGGATTCCTATTAGTAAAAAAAACCTAGGCTGGGTGTGGTAGTTCACACTTATAATCCCAGCACTTTGGGAAGCCAAGGGGCAGGACTGTTTGAGGCCAGAAGTTCAAGACCAGCCTGGTTGACACAGAGAGACCCCTGTCTCTATTAAAAAACTTAAAATTCAGCCAGGTATGGTGGCATGTGCCTGTAGTTCCAGCTACTCTGGAGGCTGAGGAGGAAGGATCACTTAAACCCAGGAGTTCAGGGTTGCAGTGAGATATGATCACACAACTGAACTCCAGCCTAGGTAACAGTGTGAGACCCTGTCTCTAAAAGAAGAAAAGAAAAAAAACCCCAAATCCAACTTCCTTACTGTAATTAAGGCTCAAAATAATCTCATTGCAACTAACTCTCTTAAGAGCTCCTTCCATTCTATTCCTAGATTATTCCACATTTCAGCTACAATAGCTTTTTCGGTTTTTTTGGAGACAGAATCTCACTCTGTTGCACCAACTAGAGTGCAGTGGTGTCATCGTAGCTGACTGCAGCCTCAAACTCCTGGGCTCAAGCGATCCCCCTGCCTCAGCCTCCTGAGTGGCAGGGACTACAGGCATGCACCACCACACCTGGCTAATGTTTCTATTTTTTTTTTTCTGGAAATCTGCTTATCTTCCAAGAATTTTTTTTTTTTTTTTTGAGAGACAGAGAGAGGTCTTGCCCTGTCAACCAGGCTATAGTGCAGTGGCGTCAGCCTAGCTCACAGCAACCTCAAACTCCTGGGCTCAATCCATCCTCTTGCCTTAGTCTCCCGAGTAGCTGGCTAATTTTTCTATTTTTTTTTCTTCTAGGGCTATTACAATATCAATTCTTGTATCGCTCATCAATCAACAACAAGATGATAGATCTCCTTTTATCTTAAAAAGAAGAGTCTAGAGAAACAGAGAGATATTTCTGAGGAATAAACTGATAATGAGGGAGATATTAAGTACCCAGTACAGAACTTTCTCTAAAAGCTCAGTAATGACTCATCTCATGAAAAGAAGCAAGTGTGAGAATAGAAGGCTATTTTACAAACTATGTAAAATTAGTAGGTCACTGGTGAACAACATTTATGAGCAAAACAAAATTCCCATGAAAATTACCATCATATGCTGTCATGTCTGCCGTTCTATATGTCATTAATATTACTTAAGAAACAAATATTTATTAAAGATGAATCATGTACTCAGCACTAGCAAATAAAGAGGAAATAGAGAGTATAATATTTATTCTTGCAAAAATAGCATTAACATAAATTAGATAACAGAAAATAAGAGAACGTAATCTTAAAAATATTATGTAGCAACACAGAAAGACACATATAATTACATATATACATTCAAACAATGATAATATATAATTTATAAATTATGAGGTATGGAAAAGTTCAATTCTGAAAACCAACATAATCAGGAAAAGCTTAGTGAAGGACACGAGATCTGTGCTGGATCCTGAAGGACAGGCAGGTAGAGCATGTACAAGCAGGGGAAAGGACTTCCTGACCAGGGATATATCATATTTAAAAACTAGGAGGCAGGGCTGAGCATCATGTGTTAATGGGACAGTGAAGAGATCTTCCTCTGCAGATTAAAAAAAAATAATAATAATAATGGGAAGCTGCATGGTTAAAAGATTTGACACTTAAGGTAGAGCAGACAGTAAAGGTCTCAAAGTCGAGGCATAGGGGTACAATGAAAACATAGAAAATAGATAGTGAAAAACTATTACACAAGGGAATAATAAAGATTTGTAAATTTGGCACAGAGGATGGATTAAAACAGGGAGGACTGCGTTGAGGGACGTTAGCAAGAAGGCTATGCAGTTGTGAGGGCTTGGACTAAGATGCTGCAGCAGATGGCCAAGAGCAAAAGTCATGTTCATAGTTGAATACATGGATGATCTTATCAACTATGAAGTACATGGTTTTTTTTTTTAAGATAAAAGTGCAGTAGAGAAGAAAAAAGCATGTAATAATTTTAAGAGTAGTATGACCTGTTTTTTTCCTCCTTTCTGATTAATTTTTAAATCACTTTTCTTAAGTTAACAAACATCTCGACATCAAGACAGCCTCCTCAGTTCTTTTGAGTTTCATAAAAAGGGGGATTCTCCAATGAAGACATTTTAGAACTAGAGGGACTCCCATTTGCAATCTGAAGAAGATTCCAGAATATATTCTTTTACATGTACTTCACAGCAACAACAAAAATAAATAAATGGGACTTGGTTAAATTAAAAAACTTCTGCACAGCCATGCAAACAATCAACAGAGCAAATAGACAACCTACAGAATGGGAGAAAATACTCGAATGCTATACATCAGATAAAGGGCTAATAACTAGAATCTACAAAGAACTCAAGCAAATCAGCAAGAAAAAAAAAATCAAACCACCCCATTAAAAAGTAGGCAAAAGACATGAACAGAAGCTTCTCAAAAGAAGACAGACTAATGGCCAATAAATGTGAAAAAATGCTCAACGTCACTGATCATCAGAGAGATGCAAATCAAAGCCACAGTGAGGTATCACCTAAGCCCAGAGAGAATGGCTTTTATCAAAAAGTCCCAAAACAATAGATGCTGGCATGGACGGAGAGAGAAAGGAACACTTATATGCTGTTGGTGGGACTATAAACTAGTGCAACCTCTCTGGAAAGTAGTACAGAGATTCGTCAAAGAACTCAAAGTAGACCTACCATTTGATCTAGCAATCCCATTACTGGGTATTTACCTAAAGGAAAAAAAGTCATTTTATCAAAAAGACACTTGTACTAGAATGTTTACTGCAGCACCATTCACAATCACAAAGATGTAGAATCAACCCAAGTGCCCATCAATTCATGAGTGGATGAGTAAAATGTGGTATATATACACCATGGAATACTACTTAGCCATAAAAAATGAATGAATACCTTTTGCAACAATCTGGATAGGATTTAAGACCATCCTCCTAAGTGAAGTATTGCAAGAATAGAAAAACAAACACCACATGTACTCACTATTAAATTAGAACTAACTGACTAGCACTCATGTGTACAGATGTAAGTAAAACTTAATAGAAATCATGCAGGGGGGAGACGGACAGACAGGATGAATGAAATCATACCTAACAAGTACAATGTACACTATCTGGGTGATGGGTACATTTATAAATTTGACTTGAGCAGTAGAAAAGCAATCCATTTAACCAAAATATTTGTAGCCCCATAATATTTTAAAATTTAAAAAAATCTAAAAAAAAAAAGAAAATATACAGCAGAATTTAGAATAGATAACTATTACATTTTCTTTATTCTTATATTGAGCATGATATGAATTTTTTTTTTTTTTAGCCAAGGTCTTGCTCTGTTGCCCAGGCTATAGTGCAGTGGCCTGACATAGCTCACTGTAGCCTCAAACTCCCAGGCTCAAATGATTCTCTTGACTCAGCCTCCCAAGTAGGTGGGACTACAGGTGCACACCACAATGTTTGGCTGATTTTAAAAACTGTTTTAGAGACTGGGTCTCACTATGTTGCCCAGGCTAGTCTCAAACTCCTGGCCTCAAGTGATCCTCCAGACCCAAACCCCCAAATCAACGGAATAAAACCAAGAACCAACGGGGCCCGGCCGAAAAAAAAAAGAAAAATTATCAGTCTTTCCGGGTAATACAATTTAAGTTAAAGATCATCTACATCAGGGGTCCTCAAACTTTTTAAACAGGGGGCCAGTTCACTGTCCCTCAGACCGTTGGAGAGTGCAGCGCACATTCCACACATGCGCACTGTGTGCTCGGGACAAGCTGGCTGCTAAGCAGGACAGGCAGCGGCGGCAAAAACACCCAGCGGGCCGGATAAATGTCCTTGGCGGGCCGCAGTTTGAGGACGCCTGATCTACATGGTATTACCATACTCATTTTCCTATGTTATATTTGGAAAAAACAGAACTTATCTTTAGTGGTACCCTTATTAGAAAGTATCCCAGCTTTAGCATATTAGTATTTTATTTCTAAGTTTAAGTTACAGTATTTTCAGCAGCCCATGTGTAATGACTACAGAAACCAGACTCAAATACTTGAGCGGCTGAGAATGCATAAGTCTTCAGATGAAATGAATTGTCTAAGACCTTGCCACCTGGGAAAGCCAGGAACAAAGCCATAACTATCATTACAGCCTCAGAAGATGCAGTTGCTTTGTCTTCAGACTTAAAAAAACATTTTCCATCTTAAAATAATATTTATGCATTTACCCGGGATAGTGTTGGGAATGATGCATAAATAAACAGATACATAAACTAAAATTTAGGGCTTTTTTTTTTTTTTTCTTTTTAAAAAGTGAATCCCTGGGGCATTTCATATAGTACAAAACAACTGAAACAATTTAAGAATTCATGCATTAAAAGAAATAATGTCTTATATCCCAGTCTCCAAGAGGGACTGCCTGTACTAAACTATGAACTATAGCTTAGTCCTTTTTATTTTTTTTTACAGAAAGGCAAACTTACTCATTTTTAATGCATTAGAATAGGTAAAAATGCCAAGCACCAGCAAGAGAAGTTTTTCTTGCAGATGGATGTGACTCTTATAGGAGCAACAGGGATTTCCCTCCTTGGGCAGAAAGGAGCATTTTGGTTCCCCACCCCCAAACCCAGCACGGCTACAGACTATTCCAGAGTAAGCTCCTTCTGTCCTCTCTGGTTATCTTTTAATATACAGTGTGGCATGCTAAATCTGTGTTATACTCTCCTTTGTATTCCCACGGTCCGCCCCAGTGTCTGGATAATAAGAATTTAATAATGTTTGTTGAATAAATTTAGCAGAAGTTGAAAGCAAATCCTTTGTTTCCACAGCAAGATACCATTGGCTTTCTGGGGAGCAGAGTTCCTGATGAGGCTAAATAAAACCACCTCAGTTCATCTCAATGCCAAGGCATTTCTTGATTTTTTTTTTTTACAATGCAGTTGTTGAATCAACCATCTATAGTAACTTGAAAGACTGAAAACTATCCTACCCGAAACATTTTCTAGGAAGTTGATGCTAGAATATGTTTTGGTTTTCCATTTCAACTTCTAATAATTCTTTCAAACTTTATGTTTGACTTAAATTTTGTTTTAAATTGATCCTTTGGATGGAATACTACTTTCACATTTTAGAAGAAGGATATTTTGTACAATGTATAACCTGAATCTCGCTACTCACACAGAAACAACAGATAAATCCAAAAATATGGAACATTCTACTAAAAATATCAACACCATAAAAAACAAAGAAAGGCTATGGAGACGTTACCAATTAAAGGAGACTAAAGATACATGGCTAAATGCATGATCCTAGACTGCATCCTGTACTAGGAAGGTGAACAATGGCATAATGGACATTATTAATTGAACTGACAAAATTGGATTCCAACAGTAAAGTATCAATTTTAAACTTACTGGAGATGTTAACTTTAATTCTTAGGAATTATACTCTAAACAATTTAGGGGTACAGGGCTACAATCTATGTAGATTTCCTTAAATGACTTAGGAAAAAAACTATGTGTGTAGATACACACACACACACACACACACACATATATATATATCTACACACACATATGTATTTAGAGAGAGGGCAAGAGCACACATGAACATAAGTGGTTAAAGCAAATCAGACAAAATCTTAATGATAGGTGAATCTAGGTAAAAAGTATACAGGTATTTTTTTTTCAACTGATCTGTAAGTTTGAAATTATTTTCAAATAAAGAATAAAAGCAAACAAGCAAAAAATGACATTCTTTATCTAGTGAATTCTTCAAAGATTACCAGCTCCTTCAATCGTTTTTCCTGGTTCTACTGAGTCCTTCCCCCTATTTGTTCAGATCCTTGTTAAAATGTTAAGTCTCATAAAAATAATTATATTTTGGGTTCATTTACATATTCCAAACACTCTAAATTCTTTTCAAGAAAACCCATTTAAAATATTCTATTTGTTTCCAAATAAAATGGTAGAGGTAATTTATACCTTTGCAAACAGAAGCAATAGGAACAACCAAGGTGTTCCAGCCATGACACAAGTCAATTACATTCCATTTAAGAAATATTTAAAAAGCACTGCAATAACCTCTGTAAGGCCTACAAAAATGAGTTAAGACACAAATTCTGCCCTTCAGTTGATAAAAATCTAGTGGGAGATAAACACATAAACAATGGCCTGAAAAAAAGGGCCGACTCATAAAGGTTGTATTATCTATTGCTGTATAACATATTCCCCTAACATTTAGTAGCTTAAAGTAATAAACATTGATTATTTCATAAAGTTTCTGTGGTCAGGAATACAGGAGCAGCTTAACCACGGGGATCTGGCCCGGCTGCAGTCCTTAAAGGATTGACCAGGGCTGCAAGATCCACTGCCAAGGTGGCTCACTCACACGCCAGGCAATTACTGCTGGTTGTTGGGAGGAGGTCCTAGTTTCTTATCACATGGACCTCTCCACAGTGCTGCTCGAGTGCTCTCATGTCATGGCAGCTGACCTCCCCTATAGCGAGTGAACTAAGAAAGCAAAATGGAAACCCCAATGCCTTTTAGGACCTAGGCTCAGAAGTTATGCACAGCCATTTACACAATATTCTACTGGTTATATAGGTTAGTCCTATTTAGTCTAGGAGTGGGCACGAATAGCAAGCAGCAAAAATCATTGGGGGTCATCTTGGCAGCTGGCTTCCACAAAAGGCTATTCAAAAGAGAAAATACCCAGGGCATTGCCAGGAAGGTACAATTAAACTCAATTCCTTGGTACACCATGGTAAGAAACATTAGGTTATCTCTGGGGTGTAATATCCTTTTTAATTTAGTTCTTCTCTGAGTAATCTGGTCAGTAATTGTGAAGGAAATATGACAGGATGGCAATTTTCTTCTCTCTTGTAATCAACCATACACTTAGAATGTATCCAAAGAGAATTTACAAAGTCCCAAGTAATTGCTTGGTATCATTTTTTATAGTCAGGTACTGGGACCCCTCAATTAACATTCACACACACCACTACAGGTTGGCCAAATAAGTCTTAGTCTGAGGTTTACTATATACACTTCAGCATGAAGTTATATGTATTGTCTTTAACCATCAGACACCCCAACCCAAATGCAAGAAGGTCTCATCGTAGTCACAGAATCACAGATTACTAGAGTTGCATGGGATTTCTAAAAATCTCATGGGAACTCATGGGAATTAAGGATTAAGAATAGAGTTTGTCGGTCGGGCGCTGTGGCTCACGCCTATAATCCTAGCACTCTGGGAGGCCGAGGCG